GGCTTATCTGAGGTTGTGAAGCCTTCCTTTCCGCTGGATTCTCCGGTCATTATGGGCATCCCATACTTCATTCTTTTTTGTTCGCTCTGCTTCCTATTATTAAATGATAATAATGGGAAGCTAGGGAATTCTTACTCTAGAACCAGTTCAATCATGGGTTGACTTCCTTCAAGAACTCCCTTTTTCTTTCCCCTATCCTTTTCTTCTTCAAATAGCGGAAATAGGGGAATAACTGGTTTACTTCCGGAGGTAGCCTGGCTCATCACATCTCCTTGAGCACCTTTTGGGGTAGAGAACTCCAGATCTAGTCTCCTCTGTAGATTCCCTGTTAAGGTACAAAGTCTACTTACTTCTCCCTTGGTTTCCAAAGAAATCATTTCCATGCTCTTCAATACTTATATCATAGTAGCCTGCAGCTCTTCATTAGTTCATTTTCCTTCAGACCTTCCAGATGAAGTCAAGCTTTCCAAAATCGCTTGTCCTGATGAAGAAGAAGGATTTCCTTATTGATGTGTCATCTTTTAGCAAAGGTTGAGATTATTCGTACTTTGTACTCTTTCTGAAAGTTTTATGGCTTCTCTTTTTTGAAATACGAGATTGAAAAGTTGTCACACCGGGCGTGCCAAAACTATGTTCGTCTGGAGGAATTTCTGATAGGGACGTTTCCTGGCCAACGAGCACACAGCTTCCCGAGAGGTTGGCGTCGGTTGATATTGTCTGTCGAGCTTCTGCTTATTTGGCGGGTTGTAAGAGAATGACATAATTAATTCTGAAAGGTGCCCTTGTGGGGCCTTAGGTGTAGGCCTTGAGGCTCACAATCAAAATTTACTTTAGGTGTGTAGGCGTGCCACTGCCATCTTTAGCATGACAGATGTAAAACAGATGTTTAGTTTAATTGTATATGCCCGAGAGACCAAGTTAGCTATGAAAGGTGCCTTTATAGGGCCTTAGGTGTAGGCCTTAAGGCTCACAATCAAAACTAACTAAGTACTCGAACATATAGTGGTTGTTTCATTGTTGCAGAAGTATTACAACTGTTATATTTTAATCACCAGAGCCCGAAGAGTAGAACGAACCCAGATAGGTGCCTTTGTAGGGCCTTAGGTATAGGCCTTGAGGCTTCCCATCAGAATTAATTCTATACTTAAGCGTTCTGTGGCAATCATAATATCACAGAAGTAAAACTAAGAAATAGGTTGATTACTTGCGCCCCAAGTAACTTCGGACTTCTTGTTATCACGGATTGTCGTGGATGGGTTAAGTCCACATAAAGTTCTTTTTTATGCCTTGAAACCAAGGACTATTGATTGATAAATCTTGTATGCCCGAAAGGTTACAACTTAGATCTGGTTAAGCTATGAGTGCGGATTCCAACTTTACTTTTACATGGTTAGGCACCATTAAACCGACCAGATTCAAGAACCAAGAAGCCTTTTAATCATAAACTTGCTAGAAATAACTTGGATACAGATGGAACTATACATCATATTACTAGATTTATGAATGAAAAGACAGAACAAAGAGGGTCGGGCAAGGCTGATCGTCTTGCAACTTCCTCTCTTTGTGATTTACAAAAGGTTTGAGTGCTAGAAGGGGAGATTGAGAGATGAGTTTATAGGAGGGAATCGATACTACAGCAAGATTCAGACAAGGTAGCAGAGCTTTTACAAAGGCTTTTTGGTGAAGGTTGATCCTGAAAAGGATGAAGGCTTAGTGCTGACTACAGCTTCGTATGCAAATCTGGCTTGAGCAGAGTTTGTGTATTTGTTTGTTTGATTGAGTGTCCTTATCTCTGATTTCTCTTTCCCTTTTTATAGATGATTTGGCTTGGCTGCCTGCATCATCGATCTTGCCCGAATGCAGCTGAAGGGTAGTGACTCATCAGCTTTTTACTTGTACTGCCATTATAAAGTACTTTTGGGCTGATTAGCTGGCTAGTCTACACAACTTGACTTCTAGGTAGGTGAACAAGTGGCTCAAGTGATCTGCACTTAGTCAAGAAAAGGGTCTCTTCCGCCTTCTGGGCTTCGGCTGAGCCTTGGGCCTCTTTCCTTCTGGACCTTCTTCTAGGTTAACTTCCTTTTGAGCCCAAGTTCAAGTTTTAACCCAAACAACGACACTTTCTATTAAGTGAGTCACGGAGATAAAAGTGAGAGGAAAGAGAGAGAACAGAGAAGGAAGAGTTGAGGAGGGTTTGGTTATGATTGGCTTATGGTTTGAGAGTTTTAAGGTTGCAGATAGAAAGTGAAGAGCAAGAGTGAAGAGAGGGGGAAGAAGAACATAACGGAAGCCAATGGAACGTACGGGAAGCAAATGTAGGCCCGGCTTTTTCAGTCTCCTTCCTAAAAGCGATGAACGACACGTGTAAATCAGGCATAAATGAAATAAAAGAACCAAGCAAGGGCAAAAAAAGGAAGAACACTATTAATGAACAGTATTTTTCAGTTTGGGTTTTAGGAAAACTAATGAAAAATTCAAAAAACTTCTCTTTTAACAAAAACCTTTTTTAAAGCTTCCTTGGATTTTAGTATATATAAATTTGTATTTCTAAAAAAAATAAAAAAATCTCCTCGTTATTGCATTACTCAACATGACATCCAAAACTCCATTCAAATTATTTATGTGCTTGCAATGTTAACCCAATTCTCTTTTGTCAAGGGTAAATACGACTTTTTGCTTCACTAAAATCTACTCCAACAACTTCGCAAACTTAATTAATTCTTCTCGTGTCGGTTTGATCTATCAATTTTTGTATAGCAAGAGCAACGACTTATTTAAGTGCAAAAATAACATTTTTACCTTCTTAAATGGTTGTTCACATGAAAACCATGGATGGAAAAATGGATGAAAGTTTTTGGAAATGTAACAGTGGAAGATAATTGACTAATTAAAAAAATTTAGAAGGAAATTGGTTAAAATAAAAGTTTAGAATGAAAACTAACGATGACTTATAAGTTTAGGAAATAACACGGCAGAAGAGCTTTAAATATTCAAACTAATGATCAAAACCAATGCATTTCAGTCGGTGCAGTGGTCCAATTATTCTTTTGCAGGTAGGTTATAAGAAATTTAGTTCATATTTTCTTTTGCAAGTATTATATAACAAGATCTAGTACGACAATAATAGGTATTGTTTTTTTATGGTGGATTATTTATCGCTTCTGATGATATGGGGTGGATAGGAGATGCAATCAATGGTTGGGCTCAAATAAGTAAATTGTTGATTTTTTAATAGATATCATTTAAATAATAAATAGAGTTATATTTGAGTTAGAAGATTTGTATGTACAAGGAAAAATACTTGGTTCTTGATAGGAAAACCGTTGCAAAAATGATATAAAGGGAGGAATGTTGCTTTCATATTTGTGTGTTCTATATTGTATGCTTGTCCTGCTAAAATCTTGAATGTAGTGGAATCTAGATAGGAGAATAGCATTTTTATTCATCGATCATGGCCTCATCAAGTTAGTATTGTATATGTACTCTATATACATATGTATATATATACATATATATATATATATGTTATGTTTGTTTCTGATAGTAATATGATTCAAACACTTAGTTAAATTTAGTTGAGTTTTGAATTCATTCTATTTTTCATGTTGAAATCTGTTTGTTGAGATTCCTTCGCTGGAATTCTTCTCCTCTATACATTATTGTTTTAATTAATTTTGATTCAATTCATGTTAATCGTTGATGTTGATTGCTGGGTTATGCTTATATTGAAAATAACTTGTAGTAAAATTTGAATCAAGTTTTACTTAGTTGGTCTAAATATATAAAAGAATTGACCTTTTGCCACAAAACATTTTAATCCTTTTACTGACCATGCAAAAACTGGGAAAATTGATACAATTTTTGCTTCCATGAAAGCTAATGAAGCATTTTTTGTTGTTGTTTTAAATATGACTTTTTGGGGATAGAAACTCCTACGCGACTCAATAAGAGACTGGTTAGCTCCAGTAAGCCCTACCACAGAAAAAAAAAATTGTTTAATTCTTAAAGATCTACACAGGAATACAATAAAATTACACAGTCAAAACACTTACTTGGCGCAAATACTTATGAATTGTGCTGAGATCAACATAAGATAGATGAGAATGACGCAACATTCATGTAAACCAGTTGCCATCTAGTCAAAATGCAAACAAATACAATTCAATGGTGTATGTTTCACGACATGAATCCCGAGTTTAGTGTTGATGGTTTAGGAACAAATTATAGCCATTCAAATAATAGTTCACTCTTTCACAATGTTTAATTTCTTAAGATCTTGGTCATGACTTCTGCACATAACAATACAACAAAATTAAACAATCAAAACACTTACTCATATCAATTCTTAATGATCTGTGCTGAGACCAACATAAGATAGATGAAAAAGACGCAACATTCCTACAAACTAGGTGCCATCGAGTCAAAATGTAAACAATATAAGTCAAGGGTGTACGTTTCAAGACATGAATCCCGTTTGAGGTGAGATGCCGAATCAACAATACACCTCCCGACTAAGGGTCAGACAATACTCCATCTAAAAGGAAGATTTGGCATGAAACAAATGTCTCTCTCAAACTGAACTTTCCAGCCTTTTCGTATCTTCCAAAATGCGGTTTGCAAATGGAAACCATTTACCACATGCTTAGAATATTGACCTCCTCATGTGATGTATAACGTTGACCATTAGGTTCTTTGAATTCTGTAACATACCATAAACATGGTGGACATGAATCAACATCGGTGATCAAGATAGACATGTCATTACTATCCCCAAAATACTGCAAATTATCAAAAACCTCTATCGCTAGGCTTAAAACACGGTGTTCACCACAGTTAAAAACAGTATTTGTCTTTAAATTGTTGATCAGCTTCCTAATTGAACCCTAAATTGCTAGACATGACACAATATTTTTTTTTTTCTCAAGCTTTAAAAACTTATCAAGATTATCTTGAGATCAGGCATAAATGGATGAAATATATGAAAGAAATTGGGTAAAAGCTCAGTGAAAATCAAAAGTTCTTGCAATCATTAGGACTTTAACTAATACACCAGGAGGTTGGAGTGAAGAATAGAATTGACATCTAATGAAAATGTTAGCCTTTATACAATGTCATTAGCCTGCTAACATCATTAAATGACAACATTTTCATTAAACAATATGTTTATTTGCATGCATATTTTTGTGTGTATAAAGCTCATAATGTGCGATTAAGAAAACAGCTAACTAATTAGCCAGTGCCATTCTCTGTACTGTGTCCTGATTTGCTGAAGCAAAATGAGGAATCCAGCCACCCTGCATTCTTTGCTCGTTCAACGTAATGAGTAAATTGTTTCCGGGCATCAGGAACATCCAAAGCCAAATCATCGAGAGAATCTACAACTCTCCCAAACCCCTTTGCCATTTGGTTCGTTGTAATGAGTCCAGAGCCAAAACATTCCTCCAGCAAAATCCAAAGTCTCTCATTCTTCTTTTCCATAATCGTCACTAGAGCTTTTTTGACAACCTCGTGGTTGAAAAATGGCATGCCTAACTCCTTCATGCAGCGGCAAGCTTCTCTAACGTCCCCTCCAGACTCAAATTCTTCTAGCAACTTCCCAATCTTGTCCTTCACATCCTCAACTGCCCATCCGATTCTGCCACCACCACCCCAACACCTTAATATCCGCTCCCCAGAAAGCCGAGCCTTTAACAATGACCTAGCCATTTTAAGAACCTTGCTCCCAATCGACTCTGCAGCCAAGCACTGACTTCCAATCTCTTCCAAGTGCTGTGGGGCTAGGACTTCGTCCACCACAGATCTAGCGAGAAACATTGCAAGATCTTCGACAACTACTGGATTATCCAGAGCTGTGTCATCTGCAGATTCTATCAACATTACAAACCCATTTACAACATCATCAGCTGGAAAACACAGGGATGACAGTAAGACGGATGCCATTTCCTTCTCTCTGTTCTTCCGATCCATTGATAGAGTTATCAATCTTTTAACAAAGATAGCATTCAGCTCAGATGAACAAGTACTATTCTCAGACTCTACACAACTGTTTACCTCTGAGATATCTCCAGATAAGAAGTACTCTTGAATAATAGATTGAGCCTTTGTCTTGAAAACTCTGGCAACACTATCTTCTAATGATCGCTTTTCTGGCTGCAGAGATAGTGACTTCAAAGATGAAGCACACAACCAGCCCTCTGATGCTGCCTTGGAGATCAATGACCGCAATATACCCCGTGCATTTGGTATGTCGAGTGATAAGTCATCAACATAGTCAATCATCCTACCGAAGCCTTTTGATACTTGACTGGAGTTTATTAAACCTTCTTCAGCAGCTTCTTTCAGCAAATTTAGTAGTTGGCCTTCAGCTTGACGCCTCTCCATTGCCATTACAAGAGCTCGTTTAACTATTTCATGGTGAAAAAATGGAACTTTCAAATCCTTGATGCATCTGCAAGCCTCTTTCTTGTCACCACTCACTACATACTCTATCAACAAATCATTAATCTTAGCTTTGACATCCTCCACAGTCATTTTCTTGCTACCTCCCCATCGCCGCTCAATGATTTCTGCATGGAGCGGGGCTGCTAAGTAGCCCTTTTCAGCTCTTTTCAATACTTCAATCCCTTTCGAATCTTTGGGTAAGTAGTTCATTTGTTTCTTCAAGAATGCAGGAGGAAGTATGTCATCAACCACAGCTCGGGCAATGAACAGAGCAAGAACATCAACTGTATCAGGTATATCCACAATGAAGTCATCCGCAGATTCTACCAATTTGCAGAATCCCTTGTAAACTTGCGGGGGGTCAATGTAGTCAGCATATAGTGCAGATAAAAGAACAGCAGCCATTTCTTTTTCTTTGTCATGCCTATCCATCGCCTTAGAGACAAGCTTCTTTACAAAATAGTAGCTGTAGGTAGGCCTATCAAGCTCTCCAAGTTCATTTGCAGTCGAGGTAATATCGTCAGTAGCAAAGTATTCCTCCACTATTATTGTAGCTTTCTTTTTGTACTCCTCAAAATCAACCCTCTCTTTTCTAGCATCGGAATTTTCACATTCCTGCAACCAATACACATAAGTTAACACAATAAAAATAAGTGAACTAAAATTGAAGATAGCAAATAAACTGAGCATTTTATTTTTTGGTAATATTTTCATATCAAGATCTAGACAGTGAAATATGAATGTGTGAGTTGTTCAGTTACCTCACTACTATTGAAGTTTGGGTCATTCGGGTCAGCAGTGTAATTGTCATCCGTATCAAGTAACCCTCCCCAGGTGCCTTTACCCCCAGAACCACCTGCATAATGATTGTCTTCATAAAATTAAGAGTAAAAACCCACTATTGATGTACTAATCCAGAATATTTGAGTTTGAAATTTTTTTCTTGTTTATTAACCATCAGATAATAGTAAATGCTTAGAGTTCTATTTTTTCAATCCGAACATAATCTACTAATACCATTTCAAGTATACAAACATGCCTTTGAATTTAAAGAGAGAGATTAACTTTTCAAGTGTATCAGGTAACAATATATAGCTTTACGACATTGTCTAAAACATCGTTCCCTAGTGCCTCTTGCTAGCAATTATCTTATGTGAAAGAAAGCCTTCAAGCAGAAGAATCCATGAGAAAAATTCAAAAGTGTAGTTTACCCTTTTTAGGACGCCCATCAACTGCAGAATGAGAATGTCTATCATGCTTAAGTGGACTTCCTTTTCCATGTTTCCCCTGAATCTTTGGAGACTTTGGAGACTTTGGGGACTTTGAAGATTTGGGGGACTTTGGGGACCTTGCAGAAACTGGCAATGGGGATGCAGACAACGGATCTGCACTTTCTGAAGCAGATCGGTGAAGCTCCCGATGCTCCTTTGATACAAACCCATCACTGAAGTCCATTCTTCTTATCTTTTGAACTCAAGCCTACTCACTCACTAGTTTTTTTTTTTGAGAAGAACTCACTCACTAATTTTCAAGAAGCAACATATAATACCCTCAGTTTGTGATGGCTAAATCCGAATAAACCACAAGCTCACTGCTGTGATCACCAGACCCAATTCTCCAATATGTTTACTATGTCGTTAATCTATTATTTCCGTGGAGAATGCCTCAAACTTAAGAATCAATTGGAGCCTGTTTCACAAGAAGAATAAAACAATTCAGTGGACAATAATACTAAATCTTTAGCAATCGCTCCATATCTAACGACAATTGAGCTCATATGCAGACAAAACTCAAGTTAGCCAGTTTGCCACTTGAGTTTATAGAATGTTTTAAAATCACTAAGCCACTTTGCCAATTTTTCATTGGGCAATTACACAATGTTTATACAAGACACCCCTATGCTACTTGATACACAAGAAACCTGAAATTACAATGAAATATATACGTATCTGAGTAGACGACATGTTTACATATGATACACAAGGTGTAACACATGTTTACAGATTACGTTCCTAATATGCTGCACATACATATCGGAGTATACATAGTCATGCAATTTGTCTATCAATCTCACTCCTCTCCCATCTCATCTCCCATATTTTTTCAATTGGAAGAAAGAAAAAATCACCAAAAATCAATATACGAAATTACACCCAAAAATTAGCATTACTCGGATGAAATTTCCTTAGAAAATTCAAAATTTCTATGAAAAAAATCAAATTCAACATCACCTCACTTTCTTCCTGCCAATGCGATGTTGGGAAAGAAGAAAATGCAGGTCTGCAACAAATTCAAGAAACACAGAATTATATAAATATTGGAAACATAGAAATATATAATAGCAATAATAAAAAATTAAACAGCAATATATAAATGGAAAAATGAGAATAAAAGAAAAAATAAAAGAACAATAACCATGATCAGAAATCGAAATCGAAATCGAAAACAAGAGGCAGTTTGCTTTGTCCTTGAAGATTGATTGAATGAGTGGAACAAGTGGGGTGGAGGTTTTGAGAGCAGCAATGTCAAGACGAGAGGCGGTTACCAAAATTGTAGGGCGTTAGAAAGCCGTTGGCATTCAACGCGAAAGTTGAGGAAATGTCCGTCTCATCCAACGCCTCACGGCACCTCTCCTTGCTTTCTGCCTTTTGAAACGGGAGATTAAGGAAAGGGGAACCGGGAGAGCCATGCGTGCGGGAGAGAGATGGGGTCGAATCCTTCATTGTTTGCACTTATATTGCACGGGCACATGGTACCGTTATACTTATATTAGGCGATAGAATTTAGAGCTCGTAACGATTTTGCTATCCTATGGTCTATGAGGACGACGCGTTTTCTAAAGGGCTCCTGAGAAACGAGTTCGACATTAGTTTATTCGCTCATCTTAATATTGTTGATAATTAAAATATCTTTCTAGAGAAATATGACTTAAATTTGAATGATTTACGTTTTCCAATATACTTTTTTGTTTTACAAATACAAAATTAATACTTCTAAAATGTTAAAATAGTCCAACCCCAGCCCATTCTACACAAATCTAGAAAAGTCAAGCACCAAAGTCGGTGCATCATGCAATCATAACAATATGCTAGATAATTCTAGCATTATCAAGTTGGTGGGTGTGTGTGTATAATCATGAAAGTTCTAGCAGCTTGTACAATATGTGGCTATTATGAAAAGCCATATGTTGGAGTCGGCAAACATGCCTATAAATAGGTGTGTGTGTGTGTGTGTTGTAAGCAAGCAACCAAGACATCGAGAAGTGAAGAAGAAAATAAGACTACAAGTCTTATAGTGTGTTGAGTGTTTGTGAGAGTTGAGAGCTTTCTTTGTAATATTTTCAGTTTAATAAGGTCTTTTGTTGTGTCTCAAATTTGAGAGTGAATTTCCTCTTTGACATATAAAATTTAGAGTTGTCTATTCTAAATTTTTCTCAACATAAAATGTGTTTGGTCTTGTGTTTTAGAACAATATATTATAAAAACGAAAACTTAGGATATCAATATGACATTAAATTGGGCTACAATTCCATTCGAAATAAGATGACAGGATTCGATGCTGCACCATCTTCAACCCTCCTTACTATGAAGCGTACTAGTAAAATGGTTTGATTTAGGTGGTTTTCACATATGTAAAATAAAAAACAAATTAATTACACTTGGTTTGGTAACTAGTTAATCAAATATTACAATTTTTTAAATCAAATTATTATTATTATTATTATTTTCGGAATATAGTTCCAAGTCTTTGCCCGCTTTCTATTAAATTAACCCCTTTCAACCCTTCGACAGTTTTTGGCTCACACTGCAATACTATTTTGTACTTTTGCTTAGATTTCCCTGATCTAGTAGTATCAATTTTCTTCTTATGTCCTGCAATATTTTAAGGGAACTTTAACGAAAAGTTTCTGGTACTGTTCATTTTAACGAAAAACCATATTTTTACACTAAAAAATCAATCATGGTACTATTCACTTTACCCTTTATTTTGTCATTATCGTTAAAACTTAAAGTTTTCAAGCCTTTTTCATTAATTTTTCTATATTTTAACTGATGCACTTACTTATACACTTCCTTTTAGAGCAAAGATTTTTTTATGTACCCAAAACACAAGGTGGTATACTACATATCTTAATATAAGGGCGATGGACTCTATAATCCACTTTGATTATAATACATAATATATCATCTTGTGTTCAAGTAGACAAAAAATTCTCACAATAGAAATAGGTCTACTATTGTATGTGAATCCCCTAAATTAGACGTTGTTTCAGTTTTGTATATGTCCAAATACTATGGCTCTTTTAATATTTCGTTCCCGTTTGTACATGTTGCTGAACCATCTTATCCCACCGTTCCAACGAAGACCAATATTCAAAGGAACGGGAATATCACCTGTTTATATATGCAAATTAATGAAATTTCAAAAAGATGCGGTCATGAAAACGACTCTCAAAGTATATATATATATATATATAACAATAGACAAGAAGGGAAAGATCGATCACATACATTCGTATTTTTTTTGTTTTCGTTTTTCATTCCCTATTAAGTAAATGTTAAGTACGTGGGAATAGCAGAAATGCAGAAGCCATTAAAGTTGGTTCCAGCAGAACTTGTGTAAGCCCCCATGTTATGAAACACGAGATAATCATTTAACTTCAGTTCCGGCAGTTTGTAGTCAGCCACCACCGTGTCCAGCGAATCACAGGTTGGTCCGAACACCGTCGATGAATATATGGCTACTGAATGATGATGATGATCAGGAGTGTGAAGGAGGAGGGGTGAAACTGTCAAACAAGATTTATCAAATGCTGGAAGATTAAACGACCCATATATCCCATCAGTAATCCAATACTCTCTTTTCTCTCCTCTCACTCTCTTCCCCATCACATTTGCAACCAAAGTGAAAGGCGTTTCCGCAAAGAACCTTCCTGGCTCAGCCATCACCACCAGATCAGACTCCGATTGATGATCACCAAAGTGTTCTTTAATGGCGTCGTTTAGGGTTTCGGCTATTTCATCAAATAACGGGTTTGCCTTGAACCCACCACCAATATCAAGCACATGCATTTTGGGCAGTTTGAGCTCATCTGCCACGTCGAATGCAGCCCTAGCAGCTACTATTGCTCCACGGTACACTTGAGATTCCGAAGCTTTCGAACCCACGTGAAATGAAACTCCCACCACTCTCAACCCTAGTTTGTCTACATGTCTAAGTAGAGGCGCGACCTCCTCGGACAACGCACCGAATTTGGTCCCAAATGAACGCCAGGAGCTCGTGTCATTGAGGACTGCAATTCGGAGCAACAAGGAACATTTGGGATGGCATTTTTTATCTTGTTAAGTTCGTCTATGGAGTCGAAGGTTGCAAGATTGACCCCGACTCCAGCTGCGTGCCTTAAATGGTTCTCACCCTTGCATGGATTGGCGTAGACTATCCTTGAGGGACTTACACCATGAGAAAGGATGGCCTCGATCTCCACCTTGCTAGCGCAGTCAAAGCTCGCACCGAGCGTTGCCAATGCTGCTATGAATGCAGGCTCAGGGTTACACTTGACAGCAAAGAAGGGCAGAACGTTGGGAAGGCAACGGTTCCATTTTTGCATAAGGCTGACAAGAACTCCCAAATCGAGAACATAAAAGGGTTGTGGTTCGTCTTGTTTGTTGATGATGGATCTGATGTGAGCGGTGAGTTGGTGTCTTGGTATGTCAGTTGGAACATGTTCACCCTTCACTTGGCTTGCTGCCATTTTGACTTGGAGGCTGCTAAAAGCAGTAATGCTTGGAATACTTGGAAGGATCAATGCCATGGAAGAAAAACGATTAATGGGTTTATGTGAAAGATAGCAAGAATAGTGTAGAGAAAATTCGTAACTAATTAAGTGACTGATCTCTCTAAAACTTACTTTGTGGATGTTTTGCGTAATGTATGTCTTTAAATAGAGAATTTAAACGGTCCCCCATCAGAATGGGCTTCACCAACCACATCTCTCTTATGTGTAAAATGGGACACTTTGGATGTGGTCCTTGACATTAATGTAATAGTGTAAGTTACTATATGTTTTAAATTAAAAATTAAAAATTAAAAATTAAAAATTGAAATTTGTATCTGTTTATATTAAAGGGATTTTAAATATAACCTATAATTTGTGGGATTAAAAATAATAAAATATAAATTATACTCTATTATATTGTATGTGTGTGTGTACACACACACATATGGGTACATTCATCAAAATTAACAAAAAAAAATTATTGTACCAAAACATGGATACATTCTTCAAAACACACACAAAAAAAAAGAAGAAGATATTAGGCTTAATAACATTAGTAAATTTCTTTGATTAAACTTGGCATACCCAACCAACCAACATGCGGACCATTTAGATACTTTATGGTGTTGGTTGATGCATCGACAAGATGGTCACATGTTTGCTTGTTGTCCACACGCAATGCCGCATTTGCTAAAACTCCTAACTCAATCATTAAGCTAAGGGCTCACCATCCTAATTATCCGATTAAGTTAATTCGATTGGAACGCTGGAGAGTTTACGTCACAGACTTTTGACGATTATTGCATGTCAGTAGGGATTGATGTGGAACATCCTGTACCCCATGTTCAAACCCAAAACAGCCTGGTAGAAGCTTTCATAAAGCGCCTTCAATTGATAGCTCAGACTTTGGTTATGAGAACCAAACTGTCGGTATCTTCCTAGGGCTATGCAATATTGCACGCAGCTATATTGGTCCGCCTCAGGCCCATCGCTACTCAACCACATTCACCATTACAGTTGGTCACTGGATACGAGCCTGACGTCTCTCATTTACGGGTGTTTAGGTGCACCATTTATGTGCCAATAACGCCGTCGCTACAAAATGGGTCCTTAGAGAAAAATGGAATCTATGTCGATTATGATTCACCATCAATTGTTTGCTACTTAGAACCTTTAACAGAAGATCTCTTTACCACACGTTTTGCGGATTGTCACTTTGATGGGCCAGTCTTCCCGTCATTAAGGGAGATAAGCATGTTAACGTTCCCGTAGAATGCCACGAATTGTCGTGGTATGCTCCCACTATGTCTCATTTGAATCTTCGCACTGCCAATGCGATGTTGGGAAAGAAGAAAATGCAGGTCTGCAACAAATTCAAGAAATACAGAATTATATAAATATTGGAAACATAGAAATATATAATAGCAATAATAAAAAATTAAACAGCAATATATAAATGGAAAAATGAGAATAAAAGAAAAAATAAAAGAACAATAACCATGATCAGAAATCGAAATCGAAATCGAAAACAAGAGGCAGTTTGCTTTGTCCTTGAAGATTGATTGAATGAGTGGAACAAGTGGGGTGGAGGTTTTGAGAGCAGCAATGTCAAGACGAGAGGCGGTTACCAAAATTGTAGGGCGTTAGAAAGCCGTTGGCATTCAACGCGAAAGTTGAGGAAATGTCCGTCTCATCCAACGCCTCACGGCACCTCTCCTTGCTTTCTGCCTTTTGAAACGGGAGAAGGAAAGGGGAACCGGGAGAGCCATGCGTGCGGGAGAGAGATGGGGTCGAATCCTTCATTGTTTGCACGATATGCCGCGAGAACGGGGGTGCTACTACTTCTATATGCATCCAAGTTCCAAAAAAACAAATATTCTTTTAATTTCCGCACTTATATTGCACGGGCACATGGTACCGTTATACTTATATTAGGCGATAGAATTTAGAGCTCGTAACGATTTTGCTATCCTATGGTCTATGAGGACGACGCGTTTTCTAAAGGGCTCCTGAGAAACGAGTTCGACATTAGTTTATTCGCTCATCTTAATACTGTTGATAATTAAAATATCTTTCTAGAGAAATAT